TTGGAAATCCACAAGTATTAAAATGGTGCTTGAAATTGGCAAACTTCCAACTTTGTAAATTGCTTTTGCACATCATCAAACATACTGTTAGTTGTACTAAAATGGTGCTTGAAATTGGCAAACTTCCAACTTTGTAAATTGCTTTTGCACATCATCAGACATACTGTGAGTTGTACAGGCTGCAGAATTTGGACCAGTTTTTAATGCTGTAAAGAATGGATGGCTGAAATGTTTGAACATGTGACGAGATATGACAAGTGCAAGTTTAGAATCAATAATAATAATATGAAATCTTTATACAGTGCTGTCCAGTACCTGATGGACTCTTAGTGCACTTTACACCCTACCGGGTATTATCTCTGCTCACTGGACCCCAAAACAATCTTTCCTGGAGAGTGTACAAAATGTACGGCTATTAGTGTAACTGTTTTTGAATCAACCGTAAAAGACCCTCTGTTCTGTCGCATGTAGCCATTTACTGGTAAAGTAACTTGCCTAGAGTCACAAGGTACACGTACATGTATGCTCCACTGCAGGATTTGAACCTCAGACCCTACAATTGGGAGACTTTATAAACCCAAGCCACCAGGCCATACAGGTATGCCCTTCACAAACATTTACACTGTACATTTACATGTATCTATATATACATCCCACATCCCATGTATCCCACTCATGGGTAATATAAACCTGTTTTCAACCATAAACTATTCTAACATACATGTAGGCTACACGACATACACGACACCGCGAGTCATCGATTATCTTTTTACTGTATACATGTAGGCTGTGCTTCTAAATCTTCTATGACTATCACACACTGCTTGTTCATGTAAGTACACATGTATGAACATAGCTACCTGTAGGCTTTTTCTTCTTGTATAGAGAATGATGCAGACACTATTGTTATAGTCAACTTAATCCATCAAACAATAAATATTACACGCTTGGCGAGGACACATGAGTAGCCTTTCCTTCCTGGGTACCAGATAGGTTGGTGTTGTACACTCGTATCAGTCGTCCAAGACATGGCATAGCCCGTTGAAGTCCCTCCTGAAATCGACGATATTTGAAGGTGTAGATGAAGGGATTAGCGCACATGTTGAAGAAGGCCAGGCAGATAGTGATGTTGTAGACAGTTTCGTTGATGTGCTGGTTGCCACTGATATTGAAGTAGAAGTAGAAGACTTCGTTAGGAGCCCAGCAAAGACCGAAGAGCAGGTAGACAAGAAGCAAGGTTTTGATGATGTTACGTAGTGCTTTCTCATTGGTATCGTTAGGGTTGTGTGGTTGGTTCCCTGTAGCATCTGTTGAGTGGCTGGCCTCGCCGGTGATGTTACCGATTGACTGTGTTTTCAGGACCACATAGATCCTGATGTAAGCAAACGTCATGATGGCAAGAGGGACAAGGTAGGTAACCAGGAGGATGACGATCGCGTAAACGATTTGTGCAACTCGACTGGCAAATTGATTGACGACACATTTACCGTCTTTCACAACGTGCATAGCAGGAAAGTAAGCCTGGTATAAATAGCCAACAACCACAGGTAATATGGCCAACATGAGTGACTTGGGCCATTTAAAAAGAGTACAGCTCCGATACTTGAAAGGGTAGACGATGGCAAAATAACGCTCCAGGGTCAAACAGACAAGGTTGAATGTGGATGAGATGATGGTGGCCCAGAAGAGGTACTTAGAGTTCCAGATGGAGCATAGGAATCTAGCAGCAATGGGGGAGGAAGGCAATGATGGCTCAGGGGTCAGGAAACAGAGAACTAAGAGGATGGAGGTTGCAAGGTCCACTATGGATTGATTAACGATTAGAATGTTAGCATTACCCTTACGTGATCTGACCATGTGCGTTAGCACATATATAACGAGGCTATTTCCCACAATGCCAAGTCCAGCGATGATGCCGTAGGCAATCTTTACCCCCAAGGAAAGGTTTGTCAATAGATCCTCTGTACTGCCATCCATGCTTGACCATTGTTGATTGAAGATATCAGTTCACACTGGCCAAATTCTTGACAAGTTTACAGTTCAATGTACACATACCTTTCAAGTGAAGTTCTGATTCTGAGAACAGCATTTGTCGTCGCACTCTGCTTTTAAGTCTGAAGAAAGAAGAGCACCCCTTCAGTTATTCATGTACTTTTGGTCAGATAATTTTCAACTTCAGACCTATTTCTATCAAGTACAGTATATGTATAAGGTACCCTGCTGGGACCCCAGGTGTGTCCAAAATGTCCCGAGCTGGAATTCAAAGAATTAATCTCACTGAAGTTACTGGCTATCAGATTTTGGGCTATCATATGTTGACCGTTGTCTTTGGGATCCAGGTTGAATATGAGGTAGATTGTTGGAACTTCCTTCTCTTGTGGTCTGTATCGCTTGGAGATTTGTGAACCTAAAGGCATTTACTGTACACCGTTTCTTATATTTCCTTTTTAGTGTGTACTTCCTCATAGTATCCAGGAGATGTTGAAACAAAAAGTCCATTTGTGATATAAATAGCAGTGACTCATTGGAGAAATGTCCATGAGAATTATAGTACTGTACAGGGTATGTGGCATTTCCTCAAAGCATGTTCTCAAGGAAAGTGCATTTTTTTTATTTCACACATTTTAAGCGATGGGTAGTCTGATACTTAGACTTCCAATGCTGATAATTTATACTGTACTTTGTAGGATTGAATTGGTCCATTGAGCACCCATAGGAAAGTGCTCATAAAGCAAGAATGGTTTCATTATGTACCCAAGTAGCCAGTCTGTTCCGTCTATCTGATGACTCTGTCTGGCTCAATGTCTGGATGCTTTGGTGATGGCAAGTGGTCATGGCAACCAGGTGTGTCAATATTCGATTGTTGCTCTAATTGAAACTTTCAGGTTTTGACAGTTGAACATGTTATTGCTAGTGGACAGGGTTATGCAGGATTTGGAGGCTATTAGATTCAGAATGAGTAAGAATTACATGTTAGAAATTGGTATCCAAGGTACTGGTAATTTCTATGCATGGAAGTTTTTATCGGTGCTGTTCTTCAAAGTCTCCATTCAGTTTTATAAAGTTCCTTCAGCTGTGTCAATTTGACAACAAATGCTAATATTGACAAATTTCCACTTTGTACTTCATTCCTCAAAGTCAAAAAGCATCTTTCCTGGACTGTCAGCAGGATTTTGATTGCAATATGCACAATCATTTGTTGCTTGTGCTAATTCACCGCCACTTTCTTAGTCCAAAACCTTTGACAAAAGTGCTCCTTAATGTCATTTTTTCTTGATTAATTCACCCCAGTCTTGCTTGAAATTAAGGTACTTGCCTTGGTGTGCCGCAAACAGCTTGGTTCAAATTACAATTTGCCTGAAAATGTGTAATTATTGAAAACTTGGGAAGATTCCGGCAGGACTTGGCCTTACTCTAGAGGTAGCCATCTTCTGTGTCTATAAATCAAAAGTGAAGCAATCTCTGCTAACTTTTTCCAGAATCTTAATAAATGTGGGAATGGGGATGATAAAGTCAGGGTTAATTATAGATTATAATCCTTATGGTCAGAGGAGTAACTCCAAACTATGAAGAAAAAGTCTTGTCATTGTTATCTCCAAGTCAAGAAAATCTTTCAAAGTGAGGCTGTAACTGCTTATTCAGTGACAACATATCATCATGCCTAATAGTCATGACCAATTGTCCTCCCCAAACCCTACCGGTAGCAGATGCAATGAGCTACATGCAGTCATCAGACAGACAGAACAGACCTAAAGCATTAATTAACAACCACACTAGTTTCACAGGCACTTTTGTATAGGAACTCAATGATCCATGTCCAGTTTCTCTGCCATTGGAAAGTGCACATGCTCTGGTATGCACGTGAGCTGCTTAAAAGTACATGTACATGTAAGCCCAACATTGGATAATTCTGGGACACGCTGTAGGACTCTAGGAGTTTGGGGGGCTTTCTTGTTCCTCCAGATGGGATTAGACCATGTATAAATATGCTGATTTAAAGTGCAAGAGTATCAAGATTCTCAGAGTTTGAAGATTCTTTATGATAATTGGACTTTCCTCAGTCTTCGGATTGAAAAGCAATTCACTTACAAGATTTTACATTCATTAAAGACACAAGTTACAAACATATCATCTGATTATAGGATTTATTCTCAAAACTCCATTTGTTTTTATGCTACTGGTACATTTATTGAAGTCTGAAGTAAATTACCAAAACACAAACAGAAATTATTTTCACTCTGGAAACATGTCAAAATTGCCCATGCAGTGGGGTGAACAGGGGGCTGGATGATGATGTGGCATTGCTTGTAACCCCCAGGTCTACTGTGAACCAGTCAGTGGTTTCCAACTCGCCCTCTTTTCCAGCTCATCCCCCGCACTCATAATGGCATTGTGAGCCTCCAATGTAGTTTGATTAAGTGAGTGGCGGTGTTGGAATGAATGGCTGTCAGTTACTCATAATCAGTTACTGATCAAAGAAACTAAAAATGTGGATCATCAACCATCTTCACCATTCCATTCACAATATACCTCAATACCTGATTATACTAGCAAGTTTGGAGATTTAAAAACTTAACCCATTCATGCATTCAGTTATCTGTATGATGTTATTAATCTCATAAACTACAAACATAGGCTTTCTGTTAGCTTTCTGTGTATTGTTAAAGCAAAATAAGGAACTTAGCAACTAAAATTAAAATGTTTCATAACGTATTTATCTACCAGTCCATGAGCCAGGCCACCTACATGTTTGTGTGTCATGTAAGTGGGCAAATCCTGATGAAATTGGATCCTGGTGAATTTTGGGGTCTTGGCTCATGGACTGTACAAGTCCATTCTACTTGATACATTGATCTCTTCATCAGTGTTGCAGATAGCGGTACCTATGTACTAATAGAGGAGCATCATTTAAAACTACAAAACTTGTTTCCAGTATTTAATGAGTGGATCTAAAATCTTATTATTATCTGGCTAAAAATTGGTGACGCTAAAATTAAATGTTTCATTTCTACTTGATAAACAACTGGACTTTCCACTTAAATTAATACATGAACTGGTATTTAATAAGGCCCCAAAAATAGTTGGTCTCTGGTTTATGCATGCATCAATTTTGAACTTGCACGTCAATGAGTTTTTTTACCATTTTTTGGTCAAAATTTTCAGAACAGCACCTTCTATTTCCACACTGCCTGAATGCTCACAAGTAGACTTATTCCCGGCCACAAGTCCACAAGTCTGAAGGGTAATTAATTCAAGGAACCAGACTAATTCTTGGGTAGGCCATATGCGGTGATAGATCCGTTACGACTTCTTAATGTTGATGGCTAACACAAACAGTAGACCACAGGTAGGTTACAAAGTTGCAGCCTGCTGATCATCAACGATGGCGGCATGACCAGAGTATTTTGGGGGGCCTAACAGATGAACACTGTATAAACCTCTTTCCAATATGTAATGATGAAAATTCAAAAGCTTACCAGCTAAAAGTCTAACTGAAATTAAATGTTTCATATCATTCATGCGTACAAGCCATTTCTACTTGATAAGCTGGACTTTCCACTAACTTTAATATATGTAAGAAATGAACACTACCGATAATCTTCTTTCCAATATAGAATGATGAAGATTCAAAAGTCTTACTAGCTAAAGTCTAACTAAAATTAAAGGTTTCACATCATTCATGCATACAGGCCATTTATACTTGATAAGCTGGACTTTCCACTAACTTTAATACAGTAGATATGAGAGATAAACACGATAAACTTCCTTCCAGTATAGAATGATGAGTATTTAAAATCTTACTCTCTAAAAATCTGACTAATATGATTTACGTCCTCTTCGGCCTTGTCTGTAAGTTTATTTAGCTAAGCTGATATTTTCCCCTTAACTTTGTACTCAATAGCGACAGAGGTGAACAACAGTATCTTCCAGTAAAAGTTACGAGATGAGCGTGATATAAACGTAAGAAAACTATTTTCAGTTATGTCTAGGATTTAAAGTCCCACATATTTGTGAAATCAGTTTCTGTACTCAGGCCCATGTTTTCAATCTTGAACAGATATGGCTAGTTAAAAAAGGAATTGTGCCCATTACTGGACAGAGGGCATGATGAAACAGCAGACATTCAATCCCCTCCCCATTAACACAGCTCTGTCAACTTGGGTGAAGCTAGTCTTGCAAAATTTCCAATTTGTCTTACCATCCTTAAAGTCATGTGGGTAGTTTGAATAGAAACATGGTACATACAAAATGCCTCTTTCCTCAATTTAAAAAAGTTAACAGGATATTTTTGGCAATGTTCACTATCGGGTTTTAGAGCATGTCAAAATATTGTTACAGAAATTCCATGAGTAGGACTTAAATTCTTTGTAAAAATCTAACCCAAATCCCAATGTTTCACATTACTGTACATGCTGGCTGCTTCTGTTAACTTATATTGATAAGCTGATATCAGAAAGATTTCACGTCATGGGAAATTCCCCTTGTACGCAACATGCTGATCAGACGGTAGGGGACACAAACATGATGGTTGTGTCACAGGAAAACTGAGCAAAGAGTAGTATGAATAACAAGTGCTGGGGTATGGAATAAATTATGCAGAATTAGTTCCTGAACAATGTAACTCAAAACTGTGGATGATAAACCAGCTTCATCATTCCATCCACAAAATACCTAAATACATGATTGTTTCCACAGATTTTAGAGATGTAAAAACGTTAAACTCATTTATGCATTCATCTCCTTGTCAGATCTAATCAACCACAAACCCTATCTGACTTTTCTATTACATGCTGTTTTGTGTATTGGTCAGAAAATTAATTACTCGGCACCTAAAATTAAAAAGTTTCAGTGAAAACTTCTTCCTAGTACATGCTTCTTGAATTAGTATTTTTAAAATCTTATGAGCTATAAATCTAACTAAACTTAAATGTCACACATCATTCATCCAAGTCATAAGCTGGATCAGCCTTCCACTGATGCTTTTACATGTACTTGATAATAGATGAACATGATTTTGAACTAGAAAACCTTCTTCCAATAAGTAATGCATTAAATCTGAATAAAAATCCAACTATAATGAAAATGTTATACATCATATACAGGCCATTTCCACTAGTTTACATGGATGAGCGTATGCCCTGTTTATCCCCTAACCTTTGTGCTGAGTATCCTAAAAGTCGTTAATACAGATGAGCATGTTATTAATAAAAAAAATTTCCATCAATGTGTGGGATTGAAGTAGATTTGTGAATCAAACTAAATGTACTGATACATTTTATTTTGTTTAGCTTCCAAAACTTTTGTTTTCTAGTCTGTTAATTTACAATTGTTAGCAACCAATTTGAAGACATGTTGCAAACACAATGTTTTCTATTTGTTTACATGTAATATTGGAAATCAGTCAAAAATACAAAAGTGAAATCATCAGTATAAAAAAGCAGTCCTGATTTCAATTGAACTTTGTGGCTGATTTGATCATGAGATAATCTGAGACCTTTTTGTATTCATATGTATTCATTCATTTCAATAAAATGCAATTTCAAAATTGAATGGGAACTACACACTTTGTCATGTAAAACTAATTAAAAACTACTTTCCATTAATGTAATTCCACGAGAAAACTTGTTTCCAGAATCACTTTTTACTGAGTATAATTTAAAAGTGTATTATATGACTGAAAATCTAAAAATTACTTATTTATGTACAAGTCATTTCTACCTTAAAGACAAGCTTTGATAATAGTAATTTTTGAGCTGAGTAAAAAGTATTACATATTTTTAAAATACATTCAGTTACTTAAGGTGTAATTAAACATGTACATGTAAACTGTCTATGACTTTTATGTTTTCTTGAATAGCAATAGAGGGATCCCAATACGACGCTTTTAGCGTCGATCTGCGCACTTCCGCATTTGAAAACGAGGCTGTATGTGTCAGCTTCAATTCTTAGTACGATCAGACAATTGAAAGTAAGGAGTCAAGACACAAAATACATAAAGGTATTTTAAATTCAGACTTTTCAGGCTGAAAATGTTTGTGGAGGAGTCTTTCAGGAACACTCGACACGTAAAATCCAAAGAAAAATAGCAACAATTGACCGCGAACTAACGTGCCTGAGATGGTCGTGTATCTTGTACAGTGGGTGTGGTTTCAACTGAAGTGGCGTCACACTTACGAACCGGATACTAAATCTACTGTGCGGACTCTGCGGGCGCGCCCGACAAAGTTTAACACAGAGAGCCTCGGTTTCGATGCAGATATGCGCAGACGGCGCTAATGTGAAATCCCTCTATTTACAGTTTCCTGTGAGCTTTCCTTGATAACTAAGAATCCCTCAATCTATTTTTATATTGTAAACAATACAGTACCTTAAAAAAGTAATTCTAATTTTTATCTGAGATAAATGAAAGTAACAGTATTACAGATTTCATACATTTCATTTGAACTTTGTGTTTAATTCCATTTTCGCCTAATCTCAGGACCCTTTATTAGCATTGTATTTATTCGTTAAAAGAATTTTACCCATCTCAAAATTGATAACGTGATTTTGGGCTTTGATGTCCATGTGTCTAAAATTAAAAGCTTAAAACTTATAACTGAAATGTGACACATGAGTGCATTGATTCATCATAATGTTAAAAATTAGAACTATTCATTTACTTACAAGCAAAATCATAGATGTGGTTTTTTCCATTCTGTTGTAAGTTTTTGTCCAGTGTCTGTGTCAAGCTGTCTGTCAAGAGATGGCGGTTAGTTTACGTGTACATTGTGGACTGTGCATGGGGATCTTCCATACAGTTCCTTACTCTCTTTTACTTGTGTTGGCTGGGTTCATTTGGCATTCCTGCTTGTGGCCAATTCCAGTTTCACTTTATTGCCTTTTGGCTCTTGGGCTTGGATCATCAAGGCAAAGGTTGTAAAGTGCATCTTCTAGTCCGAGTTTTCCTCCTCTTTGAGCTTCCTGTTCAAAGCATGTGCTGTGAGTGTTGGTTGGTCTGGATGTTTTATCAACACTGGTAGCTGTTCCAGCTTATAAGTGGGAAGGTTTGTAGTAGCACCATCCGAATATATCTCTATGAGTATGTTCGGTTCTATGGTTCTCAATGTTTCGATGTGTGTGCTCAGTCCGTCGTCAGGAGACTGAAGAGGTGCTGAAGGTGTCCTGTCTTTATCTTTGATGTGTTCACCACTTGTAGGTGTAAGACACTGCAGAATTTACATGTAAGCGGTGATACCCAGTAAAGTCTAGTATTGTCTCTTCTTTGAGTTGATTGTTCTGTGTTTCTGTTGTATTAAACTCTTTGTTTGCTGCCTTTCCCTCTATTTTTTTCTTGAGGGATTTCTTGTTTGTACGCTTGCTGTAAGGCTCATCCTGGACATGCCCTCTGCTATCCCTGCTGAACCTCTTCCCTCCCTTGGTCTTTGTTACATCCTAGCGGTAGCATACCTATCTAATGCAGATGGGCTGGGAAGCTTACTGTGTCCAGAACAGCTGGCTTGGGATTGTTTGTCTTGTCAAATGAAAAATTATCAAACACAGCTGTGCTTACATTACGAGCTTTTGTCATAGCAGCCTTCAGCTTTTTGAATTTATTAATGAAATCTTGCGTGGTAACGACCCATTCTGTTGGTACAGGAAATTGTAACTCCTGTGCTTTCTCCTTAGACACTTTGTGCCCAAATGCATTCCTTACGTCTTCTTCCACTTCCAAAGGTCTGCTGCAATTGGTAGGGTCGATAGGCAAGACAAACAGCACACTTGCAGTGTCCTTGCGTTTGTAACGTAGATCAATATATTTCTCCAAATGCTCCATTCGGTTGTTAGATCCTTCCTCTGTTTCAGCTTGAGTGAGGCCAATCTTGCAGAATTTCCACACTGTGTCGAATGGGTAGTTGACAACAATACCATACACATAGGGCTGCAGTCCTTTACTTATGAATTCACTTTTGTTTTTTCGATGTTCACTAGCATTTAATGCTTTTATCAGATCATCTCTATTAGTTCCCGTCCAAAACCATTTACAAAAGCCCTGCTTCAGTTCAACATTATCCAAGGTCATTTTACGCCAGTTGATAGGTGCACTTGCCATGATATTGTGGTGGACACAATTGCATATATTGGTAACTGAGCTGCAAGCCTGCAAGAAAGCACAGTGACTGAAAAAGTTGAAAAAATTCCAGTCTTCTGTCTGTCCGACTGATGGCTGTGTCTGGCTCACTGTGGTTGCTTTTAGTGATTGCTTGTATGTGGTCATGATACATGTACCTGGGCGTGTTAGTGTTTGTTCATGCGCAGTGTACAAGAATGTTATGCAAAATGCATAAAATATTCCATTCAAATTTATATCCTGTCACATTTTGACATTTAACCTGTGATTGCTTTGACCTTCATTGATTCTTCCATCCAGGGGTGTAGCCTAACCGACACCAAGCTAGACTAGGGGGCTTTTTCCTCACATAAATTCCTCAAAAAGGATAAAATTACTCACCGGTATTTCCAGTCACACATTGATGTTTTCCAGCGGGAAGGCTGTCCGAGTTGTAGATGGCTGTGTTAACCTCACCATATGTACATGTATGTGTAATTTCTTTGGTGATGGTAAGATATTTGATCTTATGCTACGTGTATGTATATGCAGGAAAACCTTTGTCTTTTGTTTCTGGTACTGGATAGCCCATTTTTTGCAGTATTTTCTTTTTCTTGCCTGCAGGATGAGAGAGGAAAAATACAACAGATGCAGAATCCGGTCCAAGTGATTTGCTCATTTTTTCCACTTCAGTTTGTGCTGGATTTTTTTTTAGAATGGTCACTCTCGGTGAAACCAATCCATGCACATAATTTCCACAGTATACTATCATCATCCCTCTGTTCAAAGTCTTTATGATTGATAGCAGTGCAGATTATGTGAGGATTTCTTGGCGTGGACCCATTTGCCATGACTGTGCTGCCACACAGTTTGGTTCTGTCCCAAAGATGATGTGTTAAAGTAACGAAGGCTTTCAGAGGGATGACCACCTGTCATATGGCTGGGTCTTGCTTCCTGTCTGGCTGCCTTGGTGATTCTAGGTTGTCATTAAAAAACAGGGGCATGTTAACATGTGATGTCAGTGCTGAACTGAGTAGATAGCAATAAAACACAATATGGCAGGAGATTGTGTTGACAATAATGTAATCTACATGAACCTGGATAATTTATGGCCAAATTGCTGACCTAATACGTTTTAATGCCAGTACACCTAATCTGTTTGTTGTTTATTCAAAGGAATAGTTGTGGAGAATGTATGTTTCCCAAGACATACATGTTAAGTATAATCACAGATTTCGTCCATACTCAACGTAAATATTTTTTATAAACCCTGTATACTCAGACTTGTTTCTCTGTAAGTAGCAGGAGGTTTGGGTTCAAGTCCCACCCAAGTAAGCTTGTGAAGTTTTTCACAAGTTCTTGGACAAGCAGTGTTGTTGGTAAGGCAAACCTGTACTTACATGTAAACTGAACATCCCCTGACACAAGTACATCTTGAAATTATCATATGTGCTACTCTTTTGATTTGTGTGTTTTTAGGTTGAAAGATTTGTCAACTGTCTGTCCTGCTATTGGGAAGTACACCCGTCCTGAAAAACCGTCTCCTTTGACTTTGGAAAGCATTCTGCCTGACTGCAGAGTGAAGGTAAGATGGCTGATCAAGTGTTAATGTGAGATTGTCCTGGAGATATTACAGGTTCCAGTGCATTACTCAGTGGACATTTCACGTGATGTCAATGACAGCAGGTTGTTTATGGTGCATCAGGTGTCTGCTCGATTGCACCTGTTCAGAAGGAAATGATTTGCACTTATGTTGTGGAACACCTACGCAGCACTTTTTACAAAGTGAATTTTTTATAGAACTTGGTCACAAACACCAGGAAATAAAAGAGTTAGCGTATAAATGGGAAGCAATAAGGCATGCTACTGAGACTGAAATCCATGCCGTGGGAAAACTAAGAACCTGGATTTGGTCAGAGTGATGAGTAAGACTTCTTACTGATTTTTCAGAGAGGCATTTTGATTTTACAGAAATTCCGAAGAAAGTAAAATTTTGATGAAACATTAAGCAATCTCTTCTTGCATTAAGGCAGTTGTGCATTTTAATGCTCAGGTTTGCCGTGTTGTCATTTACTATTCTGTGAGCTAAGCAGGAATGCTGAAAAAAGTTTAATTCTTGGGTGGGACTCGAACCCGAGACCTTCCCTTGTTGAATCACAGTTTTCAGCCAGCCCAGGAATGAATTTCCAAAATTGATAATTGGAATCAACAGAATAATTGATCGCTGCATTGGCATACCAAACCCACAGACCTAAATGTGTTGTGACACAGGTGCATTTTCAGGAACTAACTTTTTGTGTCCTGTTCTGTTGGTTGTTCTGTTTGTGTTTGCAGGAAGCCAAAGGCTTAAGCTCCTTCTGGATCAACTATGGCAAGTTTCTACCGAGCATGAAATGAACACAGGTGCTTGAAAATCAACATGATAAAACCCAAAGAGTTTTTACTGTCCCCAGATTTGCTAGGCACACACTCTCAACACTTATCTACAGTTTTAAGAGTCTTGTAAATGACAGAAGACCCGCATTTCTACACTTAATCTTTGGATTCAGATAATTTTGCAGGGTTTGTTTGAGTCATGGAAAACCTGGAAAGTCATGGAATTTAATTCATGAGAAAGAGTATGAACTCTGTTTTGTGTGGCACATCTTTGAGGTTTCGCATTCGGCTGTTTGCTTTAAAACTTTTTAACGTCTGATATTGATTTGATGTGGTATTTTGCATCATACTTTCAAACTACTCCAGAGAAAAGTTAACTTCCAGAAAACTCATAAAACTTATTATCTGCAGGAAAAAAATGGTTTTATGATGGTCTCATTAAAAGTACTTAAGCCTCCTGAGAGAAAGAAAATGGGCGAAGAAAACAGCTTTGTTGAACGAAGGTGAAGTGTCTTAATTAAAAATGTTGTTGAATATTAAGATAGTTCGAGATTGTTATCATCTGTATATAGTATTTATTGTCACTTATCAAAGAGCGTCATGGTTTACGATAACGTTAATATTGTATTCTGTGAAACATTTGTAAATAAATTCTTCTTGTTGCAGTGCTGTTCTCTGCGTGTCGTATTTGTCAGTTCTTGTCTGCAAAACGTCAGAGAGATATTTGTTACGCTTGTAACACCTAGCCTAAACCGGCACTTTACCGAAACCGGCATGACCTCCCATTCCCGTTAAATTCCCTCCCGAGTTGATATCCTGGGAAAAAAATAACACACGTCATGATCCAATCTGGAACTGGTTACGGATGAATACCAAGAAAGTGAACACATGGCAAATGTTATTGTTTTAATAAGATCACGGAATTAGGGATAGTCGTGGCAAGAGACAGAAAAAAGGCTACCTTCGACGGGAGTGTACTGACCGGTGATGAACCAGAAATTGGCAAATTGGTGACATTACGATAAGGACTTTAAGGACAGACATTTCGCTCTTCTGATTGAGGGGTTAATATGTAACCTAGATGCTTGAATAGTTTCTAAAGACAAGATACACTCCAATTTTTCTCGATGACGGTTTATAGTGGATTGATTTCGAAGATGAAAAATGTATGCAACGGTGTGCAATTGCGTACATTGGGATTCCATGTCGTCTACAAACCAAACGTCAGAAAGATTAGAGCACTGTGCTCCTTGGTGTCCTGTTGGAACGATTTTGTTTCAAAGATGAGTCGGTTTATTACTAGAGGAGGCACTAATGATGCGAAATTTCCTTTGGGATATAACTGCTGGATCTCTGCGGTCACCGGAAATCCAAATGTTTGGCGATGTAGGAAAATGCGTGAAATGGCAGATTTCAAAGAGGTCAACAATTAACGTTCGCAAAGGACGGAAGGTGGAAAAGCCCTTTTTGAAGAGAATGTTTATTAACAAACATCGTAGCAACTTCACCGAATATTGGAGGGAAATGGTTCATTTGACATTTTTCCGGCATTTTTCAATCGACATTATTGTGCTTGTGCTGTATCATGCTGGTATAAATTCTTTTTAAATGGCCAACTTGGCCAAAGTAGAAAACTTTAAATTTGACCACTGGTTTCCTTTCAGAAGAAGAAATTTTGATTGAATCATTGTTTTCTCTATTGGATGATCATTTCCCCCCACAGTATTGAGTATTTACATTTAAACACATCTGCGTCACCTTGGAATCCAGCCCTATCATCCTAGTTGCAGCTTCCGTAAACTATATCTCTGCGGTGACCAGAAAAAAACCGGAACAGGAGCAGTGTAGACACAGCCAAAGAGAGGAAACAGTAGGCGGATGTGAACAAAAGCCTTGTCCTCTTATAGCTAGATAACCAATCAGCAAATCATTGTGATGTGAGAGGGTGCATCTAATGAAAAGTGGTGTGAAATGCCATTGTTTTAAGTTTATGTGACTGAGCAGTTTTATTTTGGTGGTTAACTCGAGTCACGTTGATACTGAGCTGATATTTGTGAACTGTGTTAATTGAAGAGTGAAGCTGTTTTCTTGTGTTTCGATTTCACTGATTGACAAACGCATGATGATGGATGCAACCCGGGTTGTATCACCCAGTGTGCTGTGGGTTTTGCTGCTGTGTTTGACGGCAGTGGCGGCTCAGCCGAGGATCGATATTGCTCCTCAGACAACCACTGTTGTCGCACGCGGCACTGTCATCCTTCGCTGCAGAGTCAGTAATAAGGGCATGTATACTGTCAACTGGATAAAATTTAACAAAGTGATTAGCAACGATGATTCAATTGTACCCGTTGCCGTCCCCTCTACCCGATACTCCATTGTAGGAGACCCAAACCAGGGGAACTACAGCTTGAAGATTACAGATATTTTGCTTTCGGACGGTGCTTCTTTTCGGTGCCAGCTCCGAGCACCTGCTTCAGGAGGTGAGGACATTGTCTCAGACCCAGCTACTCTTATCGTCCAGCATCCACCGGCAGAAGGTTACCCCCAGTGCTCCCCCGACTATCAAAGCTTCACGGGGCTGCAGGTTGGGCAGCAGGTCAACTTCTTTTGTTCCACGGAGAGGGGCGAGCCGGCAGCACACTTGAATTGGACCCTTGATGGAGCTGAGATCCCAGCCAAACTGACCGAGTCCACACCAGGTTTCATTGGATTGAACTTCGCTAGAAATGTCACCACAGAAGACGACGGGAGAGTCTTCATCTGTATCTTGACACACGACCTCTTACCAGAACCGAGGACTTGTCAGGTAGGACCGTTAGATGTAATCTTCCCTCCTGTGAAGACCACCATCAAACCTACACCTCGTGTCCCCAAGGAAGGCAGAACACTCCTCCTGGTTTGTGAAGCATTTGCCAACCCCATCTTAGATATGACTTACACATGGTTCGTCACGCCACCAACCCCAGAGATTGGGGAGAGGCAAGTAAGCAGAGTCAGTAGACTTCAGGGTAGCATATGGGTGTTAGGAGATGTTACTCATGAAGATGAAGGCACAGTGGTTGTCTGTGAGGCTAGAAACAATCTTGGAGCACTCAACGCCTCCTTTACGATCGACGTCTTCAAAAAAACCACACCTCCTCCGCGCCCGACACCACCTCTTGTCGTCCCCACCAGAGGCCAACCACCGGTCACTGCTGCACCTAAATCAGGAGTTCTTACGACGCCCTATGTCATCATTCTCATTCTAATCGCAGTGGCATTGCTCCTATTGACTATCGCTTTGGTCATTTTTGTTGTGAAGAGGAAAAAGCAACCGTCCACTGCTGTCATCACAGTGACTGATTTGGACAACATGCACGCTGACGTGCACTCCCTAGCCTCCTTCGGGAACATTTCCCGTCATGGCACGCCTTACCTCGACCGTGTCGACTATGAACTCAACAGAAGTCGCTCTCACAGCAGGGACATGTTCGACAGTGTCAGTCTGGACTCAGCCTCTGCTCTGGTACGGTTGCAATCTCGCGAATCCCCCACCCGTAGAAAGCAAAGCGTGGACTCTCTAGGTAAACCCCTCCGCTATGATCAGAATCATCGGGAGTACCGCAGCCCAAGCAACGGTTCTCCCACTCACCGCCCAGCCAAGCGTCTGGACTCCTCCCCCATCAAGGAGCGCAAACTCAGCGAATCGGCACACAGCCAAGCCGGTCGTCCCTTACCCAAGATTACCGAGCCGGTTCAACAGAATGAGTACGCTGAGGTGACACCAGTCGCTGTCCGTAAGAAATATAACGAGTCTCAGCTGTCGGTTACATCTCCAGAGTCAGGTTTTGGTGAGGACGACGTACTCATCAAACCTTTGAATGGCGCTTATCCATCTCAGTCTTCTAATAACTGTAACTGTAGCCGTAAGATGTCCCATGTCGAAGTCTGATGCAAGAGTCGATTAGTCGGTTTAATAAAGGGCAAGAGTCGATCCGTCTGATGAAGGTATGAGAGCCGAATGTCGCGGTATGATCAAAGCTTTGCTTGCTAAGTTCCCTGATTGGAAGATCGAGAAAATGTAATTGCTGATGACATAACAAGAAATACAAACATGTTTCGCACAACAGATAGATTTAAGACCGTTGTTTGTATTTGAGTAACAAGTAACAGATAAATTCTCGAGAACAACGGCTCAAGTTGAAATCGGCAACCAACGATCGACCAAAAGGGATAAGGCACTAAGAGGCAGGTGGTCAAGGACAAAGGTCAGGAGTCGAGGGTCAGAAACTTTTTCAACAAATGTCAAAGGTGTCAAATTCTGATGGACAAAAATGTAACATCAAGGTTTCTTTAAATTAAAGATAGCAGGAAATCAACAAACTCAGTTTAATTGTATCATTTAAACTTATAAACCAGGACTTTATGACAGTACCATTCCGTGCTGTAAAGAACCTAATGCGTAGAAGATGATTTTTTCTTTCCTGGAAAGGATCTTTAGCTTGTGAAAGTTGTGGGTAGAAAATGGTGATTGAAGATTCTGCTGTTAGATTGAAAAGAATTAAGCATCATTTTGATGTGAACGGGATGGAGCATACAAAATGAGTTGACTCAGCACGGTGTGGTAAAATTTATTTCAGGCAAATTGAAAACTTGGGAAAGTGTTGTGCTGTAGCGCTAGAAATCTTCTGGTGATTTCTACGATTGTATGACGGGATCGTGTGTATGGAGTGAGCGTATTAAAGATCCTACGCTTGCTGTGCCATTAGAGAGGCCACTAATATGAAAAATGCAATGTAATTTTATAATTTTAATACCAGAGTTGGTAATTGGAAAGGCATTGTTCAAAGTATGCAATAGTTTAGCTTTTTGTACTAGAAGTTCCTTGTATTGTTTGTAGTTAAAGTTGTATGTGATTAGTTTTTTATCCGGGTGAGAACTTGAGCATGATAATTATTGGCTAGCTTATTCAACGAGTCCAAGGCGGCAGTTCAAGTCCCACTCGGGTAACTTTAATTTTATGGATAACCGTAACTTACTTGTAGAAATGAACTATTCCATAAATATTTTGAGAGATGGAATTTTTGGGTGAGGTGGAGGGATGAAAAATAATCTTCTGATCTCAGAGTTTGAAGCATTTTGTTCGGAAGGGAGAAATCGTTTGAGACAAGTGATTCAGCGTTCGACTGTGGCGTTGTTTACATACGCGTTGACGTTGGAAAGTTGTAGGGTGTTAAAACTTTAGAAAAAAAGGAAGGAAAAAAGGGTCAGACGTTACACTGCTTGGGCTTTTCGTAAATATAGAAGTTTTATTTTTTAAATTCTGCTTTTAATAATCGTAGTTTGTATCAATGTGTTCAATTTTAAAATAAAGTTAGAATTATTTCCTTATTGATCGCACGAAGACATAAATTTGATGATTGAAGTATAGTTAACTTCTTTCGGGATACAAAGAGTTGCAAGACTTCTTTCAAAATACTGTCTCAAAATGTCTGCTAAGTTGACATGGCCTTTAAAACGTGCCTCTTTGTTTAGATATCATGACTTTAAATAATTAACAGCTGAGCTATTTTGATTCTTGTAAACATTTAGTTCACTTAAATATGTATGAAGTAAAATCGACATTTGAGACATATGGTTTCAGGTTGTGTTTAATTAAATTTCTCAGTTTTAACTTCAATAAAATTTCTTATCAAATTAGGTTTAAATCGTCGATTTGTCGCAGTGCTGTTTAATAGTTTTAGGCCTAAAGACTTTAATTACTTTCTTGATGGTTTCATGGAGGTGGACAGACGTGGCGGTCATGACTTCGTTGCACGTGACGTCAGGAAACCTTGGGCGGGGTGTTAGGAATTAAGGGGGTGTGAATTGAGTAAAAAGGTATAGTCTTGTCACGGGTCAGAAGTCAGACGGAAGTACATGTATTTCCTACTGTGATGAAGAAGACTTTCCCATAACTTGTTTAGTTGTGTGTAGGCCTACAAGTTCCCAGTCTGCACGATTTCAGCCTACTGGGTCCATTACCCTTAAGATTAAGGCCCTACGTGGCTTGAAATTACACACGACTCTACGGGAAGCGGCTGCAACCACAGCCATGGACTTGTGCGTAATCTCAAGCCACAGCCAAGTAATTTGGAGACATAGCCTCAGACAGCTAGACGTGCGTGCGGTTACCAGTGGTGACCTTTGACTTTGGTTTGTTCGTTTTTGCATCACACCGGAAGGGAGATATTTATCAGGCGGAAGCTAGAGACCAGCAAGCGGCGTGTCCGTTTCCCGCCCAAAAATGAGAATAAAGTTGTAGGTTCTGAACTGAGTCAGACGACATCTGCTGAGAACATTCCTAAAAGATAGCTTTATACGGTATGAATTGCATCATCAATTTAGATCATAAATATTTCATTAGCAATTTGATTACAGGATACACCCACCGATGTTTCTTGTGTTGCCGGTAGAAAGCTCCGTATTGTTATCAATAAATTATTACTACCTGTGGTGATCGATGACAACTATATTCCCTCAAGAAATGCTGCTTCCATAAATGCCGTAGTCTTTGAACTGAAATGTTCGTGTCAATTCTTTCGAGTGCGGTTGCAGGACCTCCTATGTGATTCTGATGCAGAATTCGAAGTCAAATTTGATTATTGGACACTCTCCCGCCAAAATGACTCGAGGGTGGTGGCGCTCTTGGCAGCGCCTGATGTTCTTTGAATCGAGAATTTTTATTAGTGTTTTAGAGTAGGCCTATTCTCCACATTTCGGATAAGACCCACAAAACTGTATAAATGATGTCGTCTCTTGGACTACACTTCATAGACATCCAAATTGTACATGTTTCCCTAAATTGTACGTGTGGCATAGAATGGAACTTTTGAGGGCAATTGTCATGAGCCATGAGAAAGTTATAACGCGGCTGGAAATAACACGGCTCTCGTGCAAGCACAAAGCCATCCCTGGCTACAGCTTAGTTGATTCGGATACGGCTATGAGGGCGCTGTACTATTTTACGCAGCTGTTGTTTGATGCTTTGCTATGTCACACGACGAAAAGTCGTTGAGGGCGCATTACGTAATCGCTATTCAACCCTTCACAAAGGGAATTAAAAACAGTTTGCATGTTGTACGAGAATACATAAAAGTCTCCCGGAAAATTCGTCCTTAAAAACATAGTGCACTTGTAAAAATCTGTATTGTCTGTCCCAAATTACATTCGAAGAAATAATGGAATTTAGTTTTCTGTTTCCAACTTTGGCGACACATTCGTGACCTCATTTTTGGTACCCCTGTTACTTAAGGTTCCACCTTTCTTACTGTGGAAGGACAAGTGTTTAGCATAACAATAGAGCACACGGTTAGGAATTCTATGTGGTGAAGTATTCAGGTCCTTCTGAAGACACCCACGCCCTTGATCCAGTACAAAGTGTGATGAGGTGGGGAGGTCTTGCATTTAAAACGCCGTCGTAGTCAGTTTCTTATCTCCGCTGTATTTCCTCTACTTTGCTCGTCCCGTTGTACTTCGATCGGGAAGAATGTTGTTTTTCCTCCTTGTGTCCCTGGCGACCTCACCGCTGGTCTTCGCGGTGGCAGACACTCCGAAGTTTGTACTCCAACCGCGGGATACGTCGGTTATTTACGGTGAAACAGTGACTCTGTACTGTTCGGTCAGCGGTGAAGAAGGCGCCCAGTTTGTGTGGATCAAAGACGGCAGCGTCATCACTCGCGGCTTCTCCATACTGACCACTGACTCACACCGGTTTTCCATCGGTGTGACGGGCACTGGAAGCTACAACCTGGTGATTACTGACGCGCAGGCTGGAGACTCGGGTTCTTACCGCTGTGTGGTGACAACGGGCGGTACCGGGTTGATTTCTAACACCGCCAACCTTCAGGTTTGGTCTCCACCCGTTGTTGAGTATCCTACATGCTCCGGGGCGGGGTCTAACGAGGTAGCGGTCGGAGAGACAGTTACCTTGTCCTGTGATGTAGAGGGAGGTAATCCTAAGGTCCAGCTCTTCTTGAACAAAGGAGATGTCGCAGTGGAGACCAGAGAAACCACTACAGGAATATCGTAAGTTGATTTTTTGGAAAAAATTTGCATTCTGACTCCACTTTTCTCATCATAGGCCTACATCATCTCAATAAACGTCAGTCATTACAGAAATGCTGGAAAGACACGAATTCTGGACTGAGAAACATTTACCGATGTTGTTGGGAAATACTTAAAAAATTCTCATCACTCCCTATAGACTTGGCACACAACTTCTGAAGTGGAGTCAGGAAGCAACTTTTTTTTTCAAAACTGCATATGTAATCCTTCAGTTTTCTCAGAAAGCATTATTTACATCTATTCATAAGAGCCCTCCTACATGGCTGCCAGGATTTAAGATCACGTACTGTCTTCAAGTTAGTTTTTGCATCTCGTTGCCTTGGAAGGAAAGCGTCCCATATACAGAAAGCGCTTGACACCCTGTGCACAAACCCTATGAAAGTGGTCTAAAAAATCCTGTTTTGAAAGTACATGCTTCAACGTTTTCATTGCTAAAATTGGCTTTTTAGGGCATATTACTTCCTGTTGCCTAATAAACTACTGCAAGGAGAAATTCGTGATGTCGTATATGGAACTCTTACTGTACTGGAAGAATATTTAATTGAAGTTGGTCGACTTTTGAACAAGTTTTCATGAAAAGTGCCCTCTGTTGGCCACTCGTGGGTATTTTCATGAAAACCACGAAGGCGGAGGTGTGTGCTCAATTGAAAGAAAAGGTATGTTTGAATCAAAGGTTGGAAAAGATAAGGTATGTTACGCCGAATTCACTCTTTTGCTATTTATTTGTTTCTGTAGTTTTAGTAACGAGGAGATCAATCCCAGTTTTGAGAAAGAGCGTTTTTAAGGGATTCTCACCATTTTATTAATTAAAGAACATGTCTTCTGACAAAGACGTCTTGCAAAGAGATTATCGGAGTGAACCAACCTTGTACAGATAAATTAAACTTGTCACTTTGATGAGCTAAAAAAGATGTTATTTAAATTCGATGACTAAGAAGTAAAAAGTGACTTAAGTTTCCACTTCACTCGTTAAACAATACAGGAAGTTTGTTTAATTTTAAAGGCAACATGCGAAAGATGTTTGCACAAGCGCATTTCATGCGACAATGTCATCGTGAGTGGTATTTCACATTGACAGCTCCGATGTCTCTATTAAGGTTGTGCGGTTTTTATTCAACTTTGTAACAACACCACCCTGTTCAGCATATCCTAACAAATCATATTTCGGCTGAGGTAAATTGGTGCTATAAAATCCCCACTTTACGTGGAAAATTGTTGTCGTATACGTTGAATTATATAAGTTTATTTTTACATAATTATCCACGATCGGTACGGTAGTCAAGCAGGTCATTGTGACATGCATTCTGAATCGAATTGTTGAGTGTACTGCTAGGGGCAAGTTGGAGCGTTCATGATTTGCCTGGTTGCCCATTTTATGAGCAAATCAGTTGGGATGATGGACCACTTGTAACCGATGGCGGTCGATAGAATGTTGATGTATAAATCCAGAGATTGTAAAAGTCGTACAGTGTGGGATTTTTAACACTTAGAGGATTATTCTTTTACTTTTGCACCGACGTCCAACCATAGTCTTAGCAGCCACTCGCAGGAAACACGCGACTGTGACGTCATAAGTACAGACTATAGTCGTGACATGTTTGGCATACAGGCGCTTAGTCGTCCGCGCTTTTCAAGCCGAAATGCAAACATCTTAGCAGCATGGAGTGCATCTGAAATGTTTGATCCGTCAATCGACAACGTATGATTATAAAATATTTTGACTTAGTGGTTGAAGAATCGTTTATTTATACTCCACATTTTACCAGTGTAAACTAGTACACTGGACAAGTGCTTTGTGTATGCCCAGACGGTTTTGACTCAGATTGTAGTGGCACTGGGAAAGTTGGTACCCGTATTCTTGAGGTTTGACCTCGTGTGTAAAAGGCATTGCGGGTGCACCATTTGAAAAGTAGCTAAAAACTGAACCGAAATGATCCACGCTTGTGCAAGACGTATGGGGTTCGATTTTTTGTGAATTCCACTGAGGGTGAAAGGAAAACGTAGTGTAGCAGCCTGGCAGGAGGGAGGGGTTGCCCACGCCCTTTTCTCCTAAAATCTCATTCGTTTGGGCAAAATAAAACCGAACGAGATCATTCTTCAGGTAGGTACTGCTTCAAGTCTTATGTTACTTTAATTTGCTGTCAATTTCATTTTATTAATCATATACACGATTAAACAAATTTTACAAACTGATTTTGTTGAGGCGATTGTTTCCTCCCTCTTCGTGGCAGGTATGACTGGACTGTGACGGAGTCAGACGAAGCTGCTGAGTTTGTTTGCATCGGTACTCATCGCTTCTGGGCAGAACCACGCACCTGTCGGTTCGGACCATTCCATCTCGTCCATGGGCCACCTAGCCTGAATCTGGTACCGGCTGAGACGACAATCCAGGCCGGCCAGTCTGTGTCTTTCCTCTGCAGTGCCGAGTCGGCGCCCAGAGCATCATACACGTGGCTTGTCGGCGGCGAAGAGGTAGATAGTAATGGTGGTAGTACGGCGCGAATGACGGTACACGAGGTCGGAAGTAGCAGCATCCTCCTCGTACGCGATGTTGGGAACGAGGATCAGTCACTTCAGGTAGGCCTAAACAGTTCAGTACGAGGTACTAATTCAAGCCCCATTGAAAACAGAGTAAAATCAGAAACTGAAATCTGAAACACAAATTAATTGTCTTGTCCCTTTCAATTTCTTTTAAATCTTTTGTGGGTTAACCGATTACATTTTTAAGTATTTCCACAAAAAATTACCCACCGAAAAGTGAGTTTTTCAAAGTGACAACCCTCGACTTTCTCGGGCACCTAGGACCCTTTTTCAACCGTAGTTTTTAGCCATTCTGCTCTCACATGAAAGCTCAAAGACCCAGGGAGTTCAACCTGGCAACGATTTACACAATCTCACCATTTGGGAGGCCAAATAATCTCCTTTTCAAAAGATACTGTGTGGGGATTTTTAATGCTGATGAACTGCTATGGCCAGAAATTCTCACTTGAATTAGCAGAATGTTCCCTGAAACGTGTCTCCCTCCGCTTGCAGATTATGTGTGTTGTGAGTTCGGCAACGGGCACAATGTCTGCTGGGGCTGTCGTTCACGTGGAGCCTGTCTACACTGCTGTCACTGGTCCTCCACCAACCCAAGAGCCATCATCCAAAGACAACGACAGTGACCAGGCAGATTCAGACACCACCAATGATCGTACATCCGCCGAAAGGAACGACGAGAATGACAATATCGCCGACGACGAGCCGGAGATTTACAAACCTGCCAACATCAATCTCGTCGTTGGGGGCGCCGTGGCTGGAGTTGGTGGTCTGCTCATCCTGGTAATAGTGATTGCGTTGATCTTTAGGCGAGGTCGGGCTTCCAGAAGCAGAGCGAGCAGATCGACCGAGAAACTAGCAGTTGGTGCCCAAGATGACAGCGATGTCTACTTCCGAAGCCGCTTCGTTGGCATTGCTCGCTCTTGGCTGTTCCCAGTCCACCGGGATACACAAAAGGGAATGGCAGCTTCTATGGCAAGTCAACAAAATCAGTCTTAGATTCCCACCTGCTGGAATAATATTTTTCAAGGTTTCTACCAATGACTTAAACAGACAAGGTCCCAAGATTTAGTGACATGAACAGTAAAACGGAGCGACACTTGTTAAAAAAAACCACCAGAATTTCATTTTTTTGAAGTCTTTTTTTTAATGAATAATCCCTTTAAAATTACATTAATCATCGAATTTTTATTACATGTATTTGTGAATTAGTAAGAGTTTTTTTTTTTAAGGTTTTTTAATGATTCATTTCAGTAGTTTCTCGCAAGACACAATTTGCCATGTACAATTCTAATCTATGGTCGGACAATTTCAGTTGGCAAATAAAGTACATTTATTAATTTTTATTAGTCAGTACTCATTTGGCATTAGACCGAGCTTCAAATCATTCTGAGTTTTTTTTTATTTTATCATTCCCGGATTCGTTTAAACGTTTAAGCAGCAGAAAAACATGACCCCAATCCCGGGCAATCTCAAGACATTATTTGTCACTTCCTGAAAAAAAGGTCTTGCACCTTGTGGTTTCCGGTGTGTCTACGTAGTGACAGGGAAGGTCGGGTACTCGGGAGACAACCAGCGTATTTCTGTGAACATACACTGTATACATTGAATTTGACCAGGAATGACTGACTAACTCTTTAATGTTTCAGAATATCATTAAGAATTTAGCTTTTAATCCTGACATGTCGCAGAACAGAAGTAAACATCATTTTGCTTGAATCGGAGAACCGTTCATTACCATTGATATATATGGAAATGATTTACACTTATGCGCCTGCATGTACTAAACTAAAAGTTTATATCACCCGTCTTCAAGCTCATTTATCGATAACAGAGAGCTAGAGATTTGACTTGTGGTTTGACATGACAATTTGCTGGACCCGTGGTGTTACTTAAACGCGTATATAGAATTTGTAAGGTTGGAAAATCATTTCTACTGGAGATGGATGACATGAAAGATGTGATGGTTGTATTGCTGGAGTCGAAGTTTTAATCGCCGTGTGTAATGTACATGTACTTGCATGAGTCATTGAAGACATATTGGAGTGGAAGGTCGTTTACTATCATTTTGTGTTTTAGTTCAAGTGGAGGAAGGAAGATCTGTGCCTGATATGATTTCCGTATCTCTTGGGTTTCAGATTGATAACAACATCCGTTATTTGTGTGCGTATTCAGTGGTCAATACAGGGCCGCTGTGCACGGATGCTATTAATCCACTTGGCTGTAACTCCTCAATTCAATCATTCTTGTAGATCTCACAAAGATTTAAATCGCCATTGAAACAAATTGAAAGAACGTGCCATTCTCTTTGTCATTTGCTTATAGTTTATTAGTTCACCGACTTTCCCCTTTGGGCTTGCTTACACTTCCGTTTACAATCCAGTAAATGGACTTTTACGAGTAACGAAAAACTTTAGTAAGGACTGCACTCTGCAATCGTTGCTCATGTGAAAAAAAGTGTTGAAGTGCTGAATAACCCACTCTCGGTTCGGGCATTATGCTTACAAAAAGCTTGGGAAATTATTAAAACCCGCTACTGCTTGATAGTCATTCCCAGGTCGTCGTTCCGAGCTTTGTACTGGACTCTCAATCATTCACCGTTTCCATAACTTTTTAAGATTGTAAATGTTTATCCATTTTTCCGTTAACATTTTTAGAACGTAGTTACCGTTTTGGTGTGGTCGTATTTATTCGCTTACAACGTTACACTAATCCGTTTTTGGTTTATGCATTACCGTATACAATCTCTAATCTGGTTGAGAATTGGCTCATTTTGAGCCGGTAAGTGGGTAGATGAACCAAATTAAACCTTCAATTTAACAGTTAGCTGCTTGCCTCTGTTTTCGTACATGGCTTGTCCTCTAACCCCGTTAGGACAGGTGCTTCATGCCCGCAGAAGTCGTCTATATTGACCTTGATCTATGAGGATGATCGCAATGTGACAGTTGTCTGAAGATATAAAAATAGATTCCTTAAAGGCACAGCTATTAAAAGGGCTGTCGATGTCGTTTGACACCTCAATCAACGTGTCGTGAGGGGTTTCTCACGTCTCCCTCAAATAGTTTTAAAAAGATACATTGTACGCGAATCACCGGGTTGCATGCATCGATGGGGGAATTAGGAAACCAGTGAACAAATTGAAACAGCCACTAAGAGTTATGAAGACAAACGTTTTGTCAATGCGATTACATGCTCCCGCACTATGGTACTCCCAGGTTTATACATCCTCGCTGAAGACCAAGTTCTGCTTCGTTCGTGCCACTTTGTTGGCAGACTACGCTTACTCGCATCCAATTCGCCTAACAGTTGTTCTTAGAGGATGGTGCGTGCGTATTTTTCAATTAAAATTGTTATGGCAGGATTGGATTAATTTTGTAGTGTCGGCAAGACCTACTTTAATATTTCCTCAGCTGAGATGCTTCGTGCTGTGATGTCTCAAGGAAACAGAGTGGTCATGGGTCAGTTTAGAGAACGCACTGAAAGTGTGAAGACCATACGATATATCTTCTTGTCCACATGCAAGGATCTTTAGTTACATCGTTGTTTTCTGTGTGAACAGTTGAACACGGACTTAAAAATCAAGAGATGCATACAAGGGAATAACAATACGAGGTTGAGGAATCACCATATTTTCATCGATATCAATTAAGAAACAGGACAGGAAATCGCACGGAAGACATTTTCCGTTGTTTTATTTGATATTTTAACTTTTATCAATTAAAATGTTTAAGTCTGCAATGCCTGCTTTATACACTCATGATCGGTTTCTAAACTTGTTGATAAACATAATTTCTCAACCTCAACCGAAAGCATAGTTTAAGTACATGTATATCCTTTCCAAGGCCAAAGTCATCGTGACGTTTTTACACTATTTTTACAGACAGGATACAGTGCAAAGTGTTCCCTTTATATAGACTCGCGACTTGTCAAGTAAGATTAAACCGCCCCTTCCCGTGTTTGCCCGGGGAACCTGAACGGGGATTTAAACGGGTTCTGCCCGGCTCTTGTCAGCGTTTGACTATGCGTCACAATGAGAAAAGCTTCCCAGCACGGATGTTTATACAAAGTGGCATTTCAGATGTAAAAAAAAAGTTAAGTAAAATTAAAACAGCTCCCCAGGAAGAGTAAAATGGAACAAATGAGAGAAAGGCCATTGTTTGGGTCCATTCCCTTTCCTTTAAAAAGCACGTTGACGACCTATAGCTCCACCCTCAAGAAAGACCATAAAAGGGTAAGCGAAAAAAATTAAAAATCTTGCCTTCTCCCAACAAGCCTGGCCCTTTCGAAAGTTTGGTGTCCTATAGGTCAAAGGCACACTACAAAGACCAGCTAAGCTGATGGAGACACATGAGCTGATGCCACTCTGACAGCCAGCCCCTCGTAAATGACAAGAACGTTTAAGATTTTGGCCAAAAGTTTGAATTTGCTTGAATGCCTTCAAACATTTTGATTTTTAATATTAAATGATAAGCTCCAGCAAAGTATTTGATGCCATTTTGGCGAGTTCTCCGCATTCACAAGGTGTGGCAAGCTGGACAATGGCCTCGGGCATACAAATCATCCGGCCTGTTTGTCAAATCTTACTCCCACAGGACGATGAATTTAGGACGAGAGTAAGATTCAGCGATGCACCCATATGCACAAGCACTTCACTCGATGATTTCTTGTGGACACATCGATACTTTCCTTCCTTCCTTCTACAGCGTGGGATTACTTACGCGATGTGCTGAGAAACTATGAACCGCGCTCACCATATGTCTACAACATTCTAGATTCCTTCACATGAGCAACATCCACCTCACTGACTGCAAGAAATGTACCACACGCAGTCGACTAGATTCGGCTGGAGCCATGAAATCATTATTAAGCTGTGACCTTGTAACTAACAGATTTATTTCAGTCTTCTAAATCATCTTTTAGCCTCTAATAACCAAGTAAATGAGCGAGCAAATAATGCCGTCAACTTATAAATGGAATCCGACTTGTGAAATAACTTTTGCGAAAATGTCTCAGTCGACAAGTACATTTTAAATGGATATAGGAATGTTTAGAAAGGCGTTATCGGATAAAGTCAAGATTCCTGGCTGCGTCATTGAGAATCAGTCTCTGTTCGTGCTGTCACACAACAAAGTTGATGGACTTCGGAATTCAGTCTGAGGGAACATCACATTAACAGTAGCCATGTCCCAAGCGAGTTTGTCTTTTCGTGCTTGCAAGGTGAGATGTGACACAATCTTTGCCTTACAGCAACATTTCTAGGAATGTTGTTTTTAAATGATGCGCTGTTGCGTATAGGTTCTTCAAACTACCATGCTGTGTCTCATTCGTATGTGTGGTCGGTCGCGTTGCATTTGAAGCAAGTTTTACTCTTCCCTGTATTCCCATCGCCCCGAGGGGGCGCTCTCAACGGCAAATGCACTGCACAAATATTGGACTATGTAACAGCTCTGGGACGCGCAAAGTATTGAGGGGATTATTTACTGTCCTTATTTACTCATGTGCATTCAGTGCTCAGGTGTCATGCGAACGTGGAAGTGTTGACCTGGCCTTGTATTGTTCAAATGAACTCTATCCAATGAATATCCGATGTTATATTGCCCTTCCCAGCACCCTGTGAGGGCGGTTGGGACCGTTGGGACGAATTTTAACTTTACGCTGTTAACACTTGAGACCCGTACATAGAAAGAGTTACAACAACTTCAAGCTTTTAAACCTTAATGGTTGTCTATTATGAGTACACAGACCAGCGTGCGGCTATTGTGTACCAATTGTGTGCACTGACGCATGACGAACGCAGTCCGCCATTTTGATTCCAACAAAACTCGTATCGTTACTTTCCCCTACGCACATTTCTCCAGCTGTAAACTGTTTGGGGCGCCCTCAAAACACACGGGCTGTCTCTTGGGCTACTTGGGCTAAATTTCAATTATTGCCTGCAGTTGGAGCGAAGCCACACTGCATTTGCTCGAGAACACGGAGATAAAGTCGCTCATTGTCTAACAATGCTCAATTTACCAAGGATTCACCCATCATCCAGGTCACAAAAAGTGCATGGCACAGACGACTTGACAGCCGGATATTGTTAGAATGATTTTCAACTCCAGCAACAATTTTTTAGAAGACTGACAACTTGAAAAATCCCAAGTGGCCTTCTGACATGAAGCAACCTTCTGATCCAAGGGCGACATGTAAATCTTCGAAACTATCTATTCGTCTTTAAAAGTCAGACAAGATTTAATTAACTGATTGCAAACATGTCAGGGCACAACAGGGACTGTTCGCATAGTTTGTCTTCAGATTTCACCAAACTGAAACTTTAAAGGCTAATTTCGCGATGACAGAAGAGAGTTATAAGCCTCGGTGATGTCGATTTCTATTGAGGCTGTGTATTGAGTGTAACTCAAGACTGCAGCAAGCAACCAAGGCGGTGAATTCACCGGAACTTGGCGTAATGGATGATACATGATGACTCAGAGTGGTAACAGCCGACACTAGTGCTTGCAAATGGTGCGAAGCTTGCAGTTAGCCACAAAACCCACAGACCCCAGACCTCTCTTCAATACACGCAAACTAGCCGTGTCACAGTCGCCCAAGACTTTGGATTAAAAGAGCCGAGAATTTCCAGATTTTCTGGCGGACATGTTGCGACGTTGGACGGTGATGGTCTGGTTGGTGCTTGGGTCTGTGAGGATGACAACCCAGGCACTGACTTGGATCATCCGACCGGTAGATGTTCTGGTCTTTGAAGGCCAACCTGTAACCCTGAGCTGCGGGATTAACTACGCATTAACGGGCTACGATAATCATCACTGGGTGCGGCTAGATCCTAAGAGTGACCAGCAATCGTTTTTGACGGAGGGAAAGTACATATCGGCAGCGCTGAGCGCCGACAAACGCCGGAGATATTCGGTAACCGCTCAGACGTCGGCCAGCGGCTATACGCTTCGAATGAATGACGCTACCAAAGCCGACAGTGGATTATATGGCTGTTTGGTATACAGCCGCACCAACGTCAACAGACGTTCCTTGTCCAATTTTGCCCGAGTCAAGGTGGTGCCACGGGCTCTGCCAACGGGAACGCCATTGTGTAAGGTAGAACCGCCCCACCCACAGCCAGGAACATCAGTTCAGTTCAGCTGCTCTAGTACAGTCGATGGATCTATCACCAGTCTGTCATGGTCTCTGAGTGGGGAGCAGGTGGTTGCAAACAGCGTCCTAGCAAGCGAGAGATCGAGCATAACCTTCCGTAAAACACTTGGAGATATGGATAACCAGGCTGTGTACACATGCACAGAACGATGGCCAGCAACTGGGGGCCAGCAAGCTTCCTGCAGCATTGTGCCTTTTGACATGCCGGTAAATGTGTCAGTAATTCCCTTGAGAGTACAAGTCGTGTCCGGTGAACCGGTAACATTTACCTGCCATGCAGAGTCGGTCCCTCCAGCCACAAGTTACATGTGGTACTACGAGGGTCATCCAGTCGTCGAGAGACCAGACCTCTTTGAGGTCCTCAATGACGGGAGGAAGATGAAGATTTTTCGTGTCGTTGGTGAGGATTTCTCAAAGTACACTGTGCGTTGCAAGGTCAAGAATATGTTAGCCATGAAGAGAAGCGCCACCGCGTTCCTAGACGTGATACCGCTGTCCCAAAGGAACGCCATGTTGGAAAAGAAGCTCAAAAACCAAAGTATCGACCACTCAAGGAACACGAGTAATGCTGAGGGCGACAGTCACGTCAGACTGCAACCAGGTGGGGTGTACGACAGGACATTGGTCACTGTCTTGATAGCTCTGACCGCTTCGGTTGGTACGGCCATACTGCTGGTCCTAGCCATGGTGCTTATTGCCTGCTTACGAAGACCGATTAAACGACGGCTGAGCTCAACAGGAGAAAGCGACCAGCAACCGTTACATGTCTCATCCTTCCCCATGAACGAGGTCACGTCAGCTGCCGGTTCTTCAACGAAGGCTGGAAAAAATCGAAACGGAAAAAGACGACCGCTGTCTTCGTCCTCCTACCAACCGCTCCAGAGGGATTTCAGTGTGTCTGGGGGGTCTCCTATAACTAAGAAAAAAACAATGCCAGTTCGAAAGATCTCATTACCAGCCATACCTCAGAAACATATTAAGAGCGTCTCGCTTTACGAAAACGCAACACCACTCCGCCTGTCTCTGTCGGAAGGTTTGGACCGTGAGAGGGGGTCCAAATCAAGCCGAAAAGGCCCATTCGCTCCAGTATCAATTTAAGTCGCTACCAAAATTAAGTCATAATTTCGACAGAAATGATTACATGCACATGTATACGAACACTTCAGAACATGTAAACACGGTATAGGTAACGCAGCGAGGTATGTTCATGACCCTTTTCACTAAATTCAATGTTATTTTTTTACACCCGCGGGAACGTCATCTCAGCTAGCACAGTTTGCATATTATAACCATTGACCTAAGACTCAGTATAATTATGTATTCATTAGCTTGTTCGTCAGAATATTTCAACCGGTAACTACTTTGCACTAAATAATGAAAGAAGAGCAGACTGAAATTTGTTTTCTAAAATTCCGAAATCTATGATGTTGAAACTCATTGTGCAGCACGATACATTTGTCAACTATTATTTGCCTCCAATCTGGTGACAGTAGCCCCCCAAACAAACAAGAACAAAATCGAGCAAAACTAGAAATTGATTATGTAGATTCGTCTCGCGTAAGGATTATAAAGGAGTGAATAAGGTGAAGTAGGTTAAATCTGTGGAGAATTGTCCACTGTTGTCATGTTGTCACTCGTTGAGGTTAGTCATACCAGGCTTTGCGTGTCTTGAGAGGATGTATGGGAGGCAGATGTTGCTGTTTAAAAACTGTTGTAAGGAGCCCGTGGTTATCTAGAGGTATTAGTTGATTATCAGCATTCCTATATCAGCTTTGAATGCATGGAAATCATCTAAGGCTCAGTCTTTGGGGAAAAACACAAGGTCTCTGCCAACTATGAGCTCAGACGCACTCCCTTTCGATTGCTTGAAGCGCTAATCAGGCTCTAAGTACGGGATTCAGCTTTTACTCGTTTCCTGCGCTTTCTTTTTGGCCAATCACTTTTGCTTTACTAGGAATAAACGCACAGCACTGTGGGTATAATAACGTTATCGTCATTGGGTGTGTTTGACTAGCTTCCACGAGTTACGCGGGTTTAACCTCGTTTCCATCGTCTCGTTTTCTTACACGATGCATACGACCACCCCGAGTCAGGGTTGCTTTGTGAAAGCTATTCGAACGTACCAGCAATGAATACTTCTGTATTCAGCATACTTGGAAGTCATCCCGTGGTTCACAGTCGTTGTATGAATTGGAGCTCAAGCAAAGCGGCTGTAACCAACCAACCTTTGGCAGGGCGGGGTACCGGTGACAATCTACCCATATCTTGTGGGCGTTATGGATTTAGCACCGGGAAGCAGTTTATCATCTCAGACTAGCACTTGAGCTTGTGTATGCCCGTCGCATGCACAACAAAGGATTGCATACGTATCTCTTGAGACAGTTGGCGTGCGTGTCATTCTATGGGTTGAGTCATGATAGCTCACAATAGCATTACTCACCACGCGGAGAAAAAAACGTGCTTCACTATTGTCTTGCTTCCTTTCCTTTTATCTGCTGTTGGTAGAAAATCATTCAAATAAGGTACAAATATAGAAACGGGGTGTTCTGGACAACCTGGGGGATCTGTTAATTTTGTAGGGACTTAAAACTGTAGGAAAATTTTGGGACGTATCTGAATAGGGCGAATTACCATTTTCAGTCTTCGGCCTCATCTTCACAGCTCACGGGAAAGTATTGCTATGAAATCTTCCTTTAAGACAAAATATATATCAGAAAAAAAACGGGTCAGTTGGAATGGTAATATGTAGTCTTTTCCTGCTAAATCTGGGCAAAGTAGGCAAGAGCTAATAGATTGGGCAATAGGTCTGATTTCCGTCTCACAAATAAACAACTGCATATAATATAAAACACAAATTATCGGATCTGTACTTGAAGAACTAAAAAAAATCAAAAATTAAATCATGTTCCTCAGTTACTCTATCGGGTTTCAAGGAAATGGGTAACCTATCATGAGTATAAATGACAGTTGTCAAGTGAGCCAAATTTATTGGATGCACACATAGTAATCTTACGTTTTTTGACTGAGTCCATGTTTTGTTTGAGGACTGAGTGTTTGTAAAGGTATGTTGTATAAAACAGTAATGTTGACATTGACGAATGACTTCTATTCGTGATACACATACTTTGTTGACTTAATTTTCTTTCAAAGAAGACCGACCCTTAAAGATCACTTGTGCATATGTTTTTAAATTCCTTTTCGTTATATTGTCAGTTTTTAAAATTGTGCTTATCGCTGTCTTTAGTATCTATATTATGGTTTGTTTTTATTAATCCAAAAGACATTAGACCTCGTTGGCAAAAAGGGATAATTAATGTATGGATCGATTAAAAACGTAGAATTAAATAATTAAATCTGATAAATATGACTGAAAATGATCATGAGAATGCTGCGTTACATAAACTTCTCTTCCCAGGTGGAAGGTTAAACAGAATTACATATTCGAAGATGTATATAAATATACGGTGTCATCGAAATCTATAGAGAATATATTTTTAAATTTGTGTGTAAACAGATATACGCTAATGTTTTATTAAGAAAATTAAACGAAGGAAAAGACAAAACTGAGGCGTCTTTTGGTTGATAACTTTGTTGTTTCTGTTAATTGAGGCATAACGGGAAATTGATCGAAATGAGCAAAATTTGGTGTGAGTGCGTGTTTGGCAGGGGGCTGTGCCAAAGAGTACCTTCGTTACAAAGGAGGCAATGCCTGGTAGAGAGAGGCTATGCCCTGCATGATTCCTTCATGGAAAGTTTGATTTTTCCCTCCAAGTTCCTTGTAGAACAGACGTGGTGCGTTAAGTCTGTAGCAAAAAAAATCATCTGGACACTCCGATTTATGATTATTAACACAAAGATGCTACCTCTAATTCTGAAGTTGAAAACGTCTGGAAATTGTACCTATGGTTTCCCACACCATCGTAAACTGATACCAATTTCTGGTTAAACCATATCGATAACCACGGAACAAGTTGCGAGCATATAGGCACGTGCCTCGTCCTTCCATAATTATCACAACGTAAGTAAGCACCTGTCAGATTTTGTGATACCAAGCAATATTTGCGTTTCATTGCTTCAGAAAGGATGTTGTACCTAACTGAAGATGCCAACACAAATTAAGTTAGATACTGTAGTATTTTCATTGTAATACATATAGGCCTAGTCTATTTAAATTGGTGTGTGCACCACCTCCAGACAACACACAGAACTCTAACGAAAACCATTTTAATTCATCATTGAGTGCTTCACAGTTTACAGTGCTTCCGGTCGATGCTTCGTTAAATTAAGACTTCCCGTTTACACTTGGTTAGGCTTTATATTGCAGCATATAAATGTACACACTCAAAAAGAGTCAACCTGGTCTTGTTTATTATCTCTTTGGTCTGGGACGGAAACACCACTTGTACTTTTGAGTTTTTGTTGTTTCAAGCCGATGAGTCTATCTTTCGAGTCTGTTCAGTTGACGATTTCATCACGACTGGCAGCCTGCTTGCTGTATTTATTTTTGATGTTATGGGTTGTGTCAGTCAAAGGAACTCAGGAGTTTGCCATTCAGGGTCTGAATGCCAAAGATAGGTTGGAGTTTTCAAACAACTTTATTGCACAGATATTAGTCAACGTGACCATTCTAACTCGACATCGTCCCAACCAGGCCTCGGTTGTGTTAAAATGCATATCAAGGGGTTGGTCGGTTGGTTGGCTGGTTGTCATTTTAATTCAGTAGGTATTGGTCATCGGCAACACTCGGAAACTGCACTTAAGCATTTCAAGAATTGCTTCCCGTAGGAGAGGGGATGACATTTCTTATCTATGCCAGCATCTAGTTCCATATTTTGTCAATTATGAAATTGTGTTTCATTTGCAATTAAATTCAGGGACAACATGTTAACTTTGTAGAAAGATATTACACGTTTGAAAGAAAGCCAGTGATGGATATTAATAATCTGAAATGAAAACACCGCTATATATAGGTGCACCTTTCATTACTCGAATTCTATTCGTAGGGATGTGACTGTTATAATGTTCTTAATATATGTGTTGTCCAGGAAACCAAGGAATAACCAGGAAGAATCTATTAATTGAGAGTCGTTTTTAGGACGATTTAGGAAGAGTCCATTAATCGATGTCATTTATGGAAGATTTTAGGAATTAATCCATTAAATCACACCGATCAAACAACACCCCTCCAGATATGGAAACTAGATATTCATGAGTAAGACGGGTGAAACAAATGCCTCTCATATACCCTTTTGATACCCAAATGGTAAATTGCATATAATGGTTGATAACCAATAACCAATGATCAGTGGCGTCATTACGGGAGGGGCATGTAGGACGGGGCACCTACCTCCCATAGGATCCATGCCCCTGAGTATCACCACCTAGCAAGCCGCAAGGTGTGTCAAGCTTTACCAACTTCAAATGTTTGTGGCGTCTACCAGGAGCTATGGTATTTTACAATCGTGGCCGTCAAATAGGGTCCAAAGCCCTACAACGCTGTTGCTGATAGAGAGTTTGACTGATGGAGAGTCAAAGATGTAGTGTGCATTAGGCCGATAGATATGAAATTCATGAGCAAATGGCAGACACCTAGTTGGGTAACTTGCCGTGAGTTTAATGGCTCTAGCATTTCCTGTAGGTGCTTATTAACAGTATGATATACGGATCGAAAACAGCGGAGTGTCACGATGTCGGACCACCGCCCTATGAAAGTTGTCTTGGTGACAGTTTCTTCAACCTCACTGATAAGTACGATCACGACAGTGTCAATGTGAAGGTTCTCGAAGGTCCGTGACTGGAAGGGGGAGGACAGGTGTCGGTTCGGAAGTTACGATTACCTAAAAATTAATATACAAATTACATCCGTAAACATCGAAATCTGCAAACTTGGTAAGTGTGGAGACCGATTTTTGGGCCGGTATCACTAACTATTACGAGACAACATCTGAAATATTCCAAACTACGTTTAGATAGTATCGTTGATGGTCGGGCATTATCGGCTGTGAATACGTACTGATTCGTGATGTGTGTGCGTTTAAAATGTACGTGTATTAAGTCATAATGGATGTATCAACGACGGTGGATCTTGGAATTCTTGAGTTTGCGCTTAAATAGAAGCTCTCATTGGCTTGTTTTGTATTCAAAGATAGGCACCGCACTAAAACAGTAAATGCAAAGTGACAGACATGACCGAAAAAGTTTGCGTCTAAAATGTTTCTTTCGGGTAATCTGTTTCAAACTGGGGCCAATTTCATAGAGTTGCACAAAATATGCCTAAGCATGCCTGAAAAAGAAAAAACTTTGCTTAAAAACGATGGTTATCAGCTCATACTCTTTCTAATTGTCATTCTAACCAAAAGACAGCTAAATACGATCCCAAAACGATATACAACACATGGAGTTCTGGCTGTTTACCGGTACCTGATTCATCAAGCAAGGTTTTCTCGTGCTTAAGCAAATTGGCCTCTGATTGTGGAGCTGAAAGACGGAGACAAGGAACCAGTTCTTTTTAGATCCCTATTTGCCCGTCTGAGACATGGCAGACGCAATAGGAGGGCGCTATTCGGTATGGGTAAATTAATGTTCTGTGTCCACTCCTTTTATCTACTTCAAATGGCGCCCTCCTATTGTGTCCACCAAGCCTCAAACAGGGTAATTACTCTGCACTAACCTGCTTACTTGATCACATACAGTGTAATAACAATTCTTGGCTCTGGCCGTTTTATGGAATATTAGCTCTTTGCAAGCCAGACCTAAGTTGAAGCTACCCCGGTCTTTTCACCAGGGACGTAGTGTTGCATCCGTCCGCACAGGAAAAGGGTGACTCAGGCAGGCCGCGTGATCAGCTAGTCCCGCTAAATGAACAGCCAATGAGAGATGTTGTTGCCTACACAAAAGTTGAAACCCTGAAAATGACTCTAACTGAACTTGAGGTAAAAGACTTGACTGGAGTGATTAAAATCAATAAGGGTGAGATGAACTTTGCTAAAAGACCTGTTACCGTAGAATTGTAAGGCTTTGTGTGTCTGAATTTGTATGGAATATAATTGTAATTATAATTACAATTAAACATATAACAATATTACATTATAATTATATTATAATATAATTACCTTAAAAAGGTAATTGAAAATAGGTGAAAGGGTTAGACGAATATGAATTTCGAACAAGAAGGGAAATCCCACTGAGGGGTAAACTCTTCATGTACACGAGAAGGCAGACTGGGAGACGTGAGAGATGATTGTCTTAGAGAAAGAATTGATTATAACTTAACGTCGCAACCATTTTGCAAGATTTTTCTCCTGCATGCCACATATAAGCAGGATGAAGCTCAGTCAACCTTTGAAGCGAATAATATGAAAGATGTGTTGGTTTGCATCTGCCACGGTGACAAGAAGATCATTAAAACTATTGTTGTGGGCATCAAAGAAGATTCACAGCAGTTTTTGGCTGCACATCCCAGATATGGCAATGATGGAAATCACCATAATGCTGGCTCCCACGTAAAAGTTTTTGACGATTTGGAGACAAACTGTGAACTAAGCTATTGTAACGTCTGTATTACATTTCATGTTGATCGTGCCGACCTGACACCAACTGATGTGGTGGGATCTTGTGAGAAGGAACTCGAAGAAGGAATCGGTGAGAATTTCTGCAGCGAACAACATTCATTATGAAACAGCCGTGTTGAAAGGTGACAGTGAACTCTTGTCGTCTTAGTCACCTCGGGCGATTCCTGAAAAGCAGGAGCTTAGCTTCAAGCTAGACTGGATTGCTGCATTATTTGTTTAATATCGACAATTCATTAACTCTTCAATATGAACAGAGGGTGCTGCTGATATGATGCGATAATAGTAAAACTGTATTGCATATCACGTTGATATCCGTTGGTTACGCCTACGTGAACCAAAACAAACGCGCGCAATGACCTTGCACCAACCTCGTCCCCATGGGTACGATCTTGCTGCGATATGTTTGTTCCCACCATGATATGCCTTGTGCTAAGGACGCGCACCCAGCCCATGGAGTTGAAGTTGCCCTTCACAGATTTTAGTGAAGGAAACTAAGTACGTCACGCAAGGTAACAGCAATAACGACGCGCAGAGCATTGTGGGTAAATTATTGCTAGGCGCGCAAACTCGCTCAATAGGGCGGTTATCAATTGGACATTTTTCCCCCTCATTGCTGAATATATTCTCACTACTTTATTACTTCAACCAAAATTGATTAAGATAACTAATGATTTGAAATATATCGCCAAAAGACACGCGATCAGTTAAACTTAGTAAGAAGGTTAATTACCGTAATTGTACAAAGGCCATATTTTTTTTATCATATAAGCCGACACTTTGACTGCATCGAAGCATAGCCATTGGCTAACCAAAAACTTAAAAGAACGCTTCGCTAACAGGAAGTTGTAACCTCGCGGTCGAAGGTCGTGCATGAAATAGCCAATCACAGTGCAAACCCATCAGCCCTTCCTAGTACCCTGCTAGGCGGATTTTTGGACCATTTTCCCTGATGGGTGTCTTCCTGCTGGCGCACTGGAAAATATGGTTATACAGAAAGTCTGCACCTACAACTGTTTCATTCGATCAATTCCAAGTATATGCGACTTAATGACGGCTTTCTATGTCAGCAGACTCAGTGCTTGCTTCTTCCGCTTCGGTGGCGTTTGCACATCAAAGTAGCTAATTTCTAAACACAACAAAAATTTAATTACAATGTTAAATATAATTATTGTTCAAACCTGAATATTAATTGTTCAAACCTCGCCAGTTGAAGGCAAACCATTTTCTAAACTTTGCAACCTCCGTGCGGATGTGAATTTATGTACTTTCTCAGAATTAACTCCCTTTCAAACAAAGTAAAAACAGGAACTGACAGGAAACTCCACCGTGACCTCAGGCAGAGCTTTTAAAGTTTACAGGAATGCAGACGAAACTGATAACATGAATTTCAGCCAAGAAAATTTCGGTTTGCTGGCACAAATCGAGTATATTTAAGACCTTTTCATATAGTAAAAAATTGAAATAAACATGAACATTAACAGAAGTGAAAGATTTTTCCTTCTATACCGGGAAAGTGCCAACCTCACTCGCAATGTTTTCCTTTCTACGAAACTTCAGAGAACACCGAGGCAGACTCTAAGGTCACTTTCGATATATGAAATGGATATGTCAAACCCTGGAATTTGTCAGAATACTGTCACGTGATGACGCGAAACATAACACTGAGCATCCGGCACGACAAGCCTAAAAAGAAATATCTTTATTTCATTTTTGTACCACCAGTGTATAACGGATATGCCGAGGCATATTTTTACAGTTTTACAGCGATTTTTGAATTGATACAGTGTGCCTGTTGTCAAAAGGCTATAATGCTAAAAAAAGGGGTAAAAAAGGAAATCATGAAGTGACACTTTAGTTTATCTAATTAGACATCCACATTTATTTAGTTTGATACGATCTAGCCGAGACGGTCAATTCTTGTTGCCAAACTTTCTCGGCGTAGGCCTATAAGGTTTTTAGTTGACTCGATGCGTACGGGATCTCAAATCCCTTACCTGAAAAGATGATTTACAAAGAGAAAATGCATTTGAAATTTGCTTAAAATTCCATTTAAAGAGCATCACTAAAGTGGATATAAAATGAGCAAATAATGCAAAAACAGGGTTTGTCCACGGCTTGGAATTTTGCACGACCTCGGTTTAGTCACTTTAAAGACCACGGTCTCGTGAGGGCGCTTTGAAAGCTGGCGCGTTTTTCCAAATTCATCATGGCGCACATTTCCAATGTTGTCGACAATTCAGCTCAAGTCAGTTTTCATGAAAGTATATATGACTGTAGAATGAAGGTAATGAACAGTATTTGTCCAAATATTGTAGAGTATATAGGGGTGAGCAGAATCGTGCAAAGAGGGCTTTAATGGATAATTTTGGACCCAATTTAATGACTGTTGTCGTGTTGACACCCACAACAAACGTACACTGCAGCACAAGTTATACTGGGCCACAAACTTTCCACTGGGGGGCGTGTAGAGGTTTTTCACATAACATAACATGATGGGCAAAGGCATTTCAGGAAGTGTACCGTGTGTTTGGAGGCACATGCATTTTTCGAATCTGTATTTCTATAGGCCTACACTAGAATGTTGAGAGACTTCGAAGGCACACACGTTTCATTCTGTGCACATAGGCCTAGGCCTATGTACACTTTGTACAGGCCTAAATTAAGTGTCTTACTGTTACAATCATGTGACCGAAAATCCTCTATAGTGTGGATGGATGCAACTTTATGCATATATCTTGAGCTTTGCATTAAGGTCACAGGGAAGTGAAAACACTGTTGACTTCTTGTTATGTAGCGGTTTGTTTTCACTGTAAAGGGTCATCAAGTTCCCGACTATCATCAAAACTTGCCTCTTCCAACAGGGCCTTCTGGTTATGTAGTTGTTTGCATTTACATGAAGCATAATCAATATGACAACTTTGTGTTTTATAATAATTAGTGAACTTAAGTTCCGCTTTGGCCCCCTTGTATTAAATTCCAATTTTGAAGGCTATTTTTAGAGGCATTTTATTTACCATATAAGTTAAGGTACCTTTCAAGGGAAAAACTGAATGTTTGTTTTTTGGTTCAACAGTTTAAAAGAAAAGGCACATGGCCTTCTGGCTAGTTTACAGTTGTACATTGTAAGTCGAGACCCTTAAGACTATTATGAGACCCCACAAATCTTTACAAGACTAACACAAGACCTCCAGTCTGATTTGAAATCACAAGGCAAGGTACTCTTGTGAACTGCCACAAACCCATTCATGGAAAGAATTCCATTTTTGGACACCACTTGACTCCCTGTGCGTAAACTCTATGAGACTAGTCTGAGAAAATCTATTTTCTAACTAAATACGTGTACCTCAATATTTTCACCACTAGATTTGATTGTTTGGCACATTTTGTTCCCTTCTAGTTAGATTTTTTTCGCATTTGCATTGTTCATGATGTTAGTTAAACCTATGAGTAAGGATCTCTGCTACATCTTTGCAATGCATCAGTGTCACTGTTTTAGTGGTTACTGTGAATTGCTCAAGCATATCCATGCTCATTTTGATCTTAACATCAACATTCTTGGTAGTGAGCATATGTGTGTAAATTCTGGGGGAAGGAGGGGGGTATGCATTCCCCTCCTGTGTTTTTTTACTGGGAAGACTGCCCGTCTTATCAGTCTCACTTTTTTGTGGTGGGGCTACTGTGAGAAATTGAAGATGCAAACACTTTGAATGCCCCATTTTGACATTTATGGCATGACTGCTTACAGTGCAGTGCCTGCATGGGGGGCATGTGGCCTAGTGGTTAGGGTTCGTAGCTTTCATGGGGTCGTGGTTCTAATCCAGCCGATGGCAACATGTTGTGATCTTGGACAAGTCACTTTACCCCAACGTGGTTCTCTCCACCCAGGGGTAAATGGGTATCTGTGAGGGTAGATAAGGTTATGTGTAGCCATTTGCCCCTGTATGGCAGCATTGCAGGCTACCACATGTATACTGCAAAGGGGGGCTGATTGGATTTCAGGAATGTGCAGATATTGTGAGTCTATTGAGCGGGAATAACAACAATAGATTGGCATTTTTTAATTAAAGATACTGTGAGATACTGGTCGCCATATAAATGCTTTGATGTAACAAGGGGGGAATAAACACAAGCAGTAAGTAAACAGGTTTGGCCATATCCACTCCATCTGTCGCTGACACAGACTTTTCCCACTGTCAACTTGGTCTTTTTGAATGCCCTTTTTATCTGTTAACCTTTCTCCCTCAACCTGCAGATACCGTTTTGCGTATTCTTGAATGCCACGATTGCACCTCAGTCTTCCATGTACGAGTTTACTGCTCATCAAGGCTCATTACTGACCACCTCAAGCAACCTGCTGGTAAGTTTCTTAATTAGATTTGTGGTTACAATTACATGTTAGTCATTTTGTAAGCAATAAATGTTTCCGCATCGTATTATGAGGAGAAAGTGTTCACCAACATAGTGGTAGCCTGGCAGCACACTAAGTCTTGATGTCTCCAACCATGTTTGAAATCTGACCACTAATGTAATGGCAATTTCATGAGCTGCAAAATGAATTATTAGTAATAAACACTTTATTTCTGGGAAGCCTTTGTGAGAATATGCTGTTTTTTGTCTCACAAGGACTGTTGGGATCTCCAAAGTATTTCACAGTTCTATGCATTTCTGTCTACAAATTCACATGGGACTAAAGCACAAGATGCAGAGTCTCATTCACAGTTTCTGGGCTTTGCAGTTGATGAGATATTAAAATAAATGTCAGGTGAACCACTCTGTTTTGTAAAGAAATTGAAGAATTTGTATATCTGAAAAGCATGTGTATCAAATTTCATCGAGATTTTGTTTATTATGCTGTTTTAAGTGATATGTTGGTCGGTTGTAATTTTTTTTCAAAATGTCCTTTCCTGAATGTCATATTTTTTCCGAGACTAAAAAGAGAGGAATCACAACCTATTGCTTATCGAAATAGCACTACATGTTCCAGTAATCAAGTATAAATAGATTGGAATTGGGAGATCAGATAAATTCATTACAGAAGTCGAGTATGCCATGCAAATGGTAGTTGTCCTTTCCTGAAGATACATACTCTTTTACAGGAAGTCAGAGATAATTTGTTGAACATAACCGTGTACCATACATAGGGGTATAAACATGATGTTGTACTAACAGTGCTTTTCTTATCAGTGTTGGACAGTGAGCGTATTTTGTCCATAGAGTTGGTTTTAAAATTCACACCAACAACATGGCAAGGGGGGGGGCTAGTGTTTTGTTCTCACAGGCCATTGTGGACTCACAATCTGAGAAAACATGGGGCACATACATTTATCTATCCAAGTCACATTGCAATATCATGTTTGTCTGGAAATGGATGATTTACAGTTTGATGTAAAATACATGTATATGGGTTGAGTCAGTTTGATTAAAAGTTACAGTTTCAGTCTAGCTTCGGTATATGACAGTGTTCAAGAAAGGACACTTCAACATGCCTATCTACCAACATCTGTTATGTATTGTTTTAATATTTCTTTGCGTGTACAAAGCCATTTCATTAGCACAGGTATGAAAACTGAAAGAGTCGAGCTTAATCATTCACTGATCATGCTCATGTGGCTGTGCATAGAAGACCAGTAAAATGTTTGCTTGAAAGGTTAACTTATGTGGACAACAATATTGTTTAAAGAATTGTGGAAACGAGTACAAAAGATTACTGATTATTTTCTTGGAATAAACTTGGAAGTTCCCTGATAGAAATTATTTGAACAGTAATTTATAGTGGCAAAGAACTTGTGACACATGGAGGGACTGTTTACTAAATATTTGACCACAGACTTTAAAAGAATAGAGTACTCAAAATTAAGGGTGTGCTGCATTTCAAAGGATGGCACTTCCATGTGAGGCCATCAATAAAAAGGGGCGTGGCAAAGACCAGGGGAATTCCCCAGCTGGGAGTGCTGTCGTTACTTCCCAAAATAACCAACGTTTGGTGATGCTTGGCGTTTGTTAAATCTTCATCTTCATACAGCATAACCGCTGACCTAAGACTGAAGCCTGCAACTGAATATCGACCCGAAAAGAAAAGAAATGAGATCGGATCTTTTCCATTAAACCCTTTCAATCTTTTTTCTTTTTTTCAAATTTCTTTAACTTCCTGGAGTACGCTAAAACATAGTGTATTAGATTTCAAGCTGATGTGTTTTATTTCGTTGAATTGATAATGTTAATACATATCCCACATGGTCTTGGCCCGTTTTCTTTATTTCTGTGAACGTGGGTTTACAATTCTGCAACTTTTCAAGTTCTCTATTATCACTTGACTCCCGCTCTTTACCTTATAGACATTGTTATTGTAGACTCTTCTCCAGCAGTTACTACCCTCCAATACCCCTCGATTCAAGTCTAGTGCTTAACCTCAGTCATAAACCTCTGACTTCCCGCATCCCTGTTAGTGGTGGATGTAAGGGTCTCTAAGCGAGCAATACAAAGGAACTGAGATCGGAGTAACACTTCCGTCAAATTTAATTACTCTTTTTGCTAATCCGGGACACTCAGTCTCGCTTGTAATAGTTATGTAAGTTTGCCAGTCTGGTTTTACTCGGTGAGGGGTGCGTGTTAAGTGTTCCTTGGGGACGTAGGGGCAATAGAATTAATGTGTCATTGTCTCTTCTGCTGCCTAGTTTCAGAGATTCAAATTTTTAAGTAACTGTGAAAAATTCCCATCCTTGACAGTAGAGAAATGCCCTGAATTGGCTGAGACAAAACAACCAAATATGTATTTGAAATAGAAATACTTAGTAAATTAAGTGGTCTGCTGAATAGGGACGTCCAAATTTGATGTAAAAGTTCAAACCCAATAAAATAAGTCTGATTTTATCCACGATTTTGAGTTGCATCACCGACAATAGCCAAGGCAAGCCTGAGACATTTTGCCGTTTAGGGATAGAACGGTTGCCCGCTGAAGTTTAGAGTTTGTCCCTGGCGATCTTACGTGGGAACTGTATTTTAAATGAATTTTCTGTGGAACTCTGTTGAGAATAAAGTAACCATGCACCTAAGGAAACGCTCCAATCTTGTGGAGCAACAGATTCTGGAAAATTTAATGCAGGATTTCCTTTTGATTAGACCGTGACCTCTTTTGTCTGTGCATTGTAATGCAAAGAGAAGCGGAAGCACGCCACTATACACGTGGTTTCGCAGCTGACCTCAGACAGTGCAAAACGGAAAGCAAAACAGATAATTGATTGGCATTGTAAAGTCAACAAGTCTTTGTCTGAAAGCTGACAGTTAAAGTCAGCCAATAGTCATTGAGAAAGTAGACAAACAAGCTTCTTACTTTAATAAAAACTTCGATTTTATTCATTGGTTGAGCAGAACTCGTTCGACGGGGAATATAAGGAGGGAAAAATACTACGAGCATGGTGTGGTACGGCGGTGTTGTCTTTGTGACCGCGTTCTTGTCCTTGGCGGCAGCGGTGAATTTCCTCAGTGGGCCGAGTAACACGGTTGTACCAGTCGGCGGCACAGCTCGGCTGAAATGCGTCGCCGATCTGCGTACCGTCCGCGGAACAGTCACGCTGTACTGGTATAAAGCGCAAGATGGCGGCGGTTACTACATTACGGGTGGGTCGGACATTTACTCCCGGAATCTTGGCGCCGAAAGATACTCACTTGAGACAAGCAGCGTCAATGGTGAGTATTCGTACACCTTAAAAATCACCTCAGTGGAAGCTGTTGACTCCGGACAGTACCAGTGTATGGGCGTGGATTCTAGTGGGCATACTCGCTCTCCACGGGGAAGCCTAAGTGTTGTACAGGCTGCGACGGACGAGCCTCTTACCTGCAGTTTCTACCCGCAGTCTCCCACCGTAGGCCAGACTGTAACGTTCTCCTGCATCGCGCCCAGGGGCATTGCTCCTGAGATGCTGTCCTGGTGGATGGCACACTCAGTCAGGATCCAGCCGTCAGCACACCTGTCCAACAACCACGGTATCTCGTTCGTCAAGACACTAAGCAACGCCGACAACTTTGCTGAATTCACCTGCCTTGTGGGCTCGTCGTTCGACACCACGAACAACATGAACTGTAGCGTGACGCCTCTCGCCGTACCTATACGGGCCGAAGTCACGGCCGAGACCGCCTTTGTTGTTGCAGACAGAACTGCTACCTTCCGATGTCGAGGGACAGCCATTCCACCAGTAACAAGATATCGCTGGATCTACGGCTCAGGCAGGAACACCATCAAGATTTCGACAAGCAGAGGAAGGTACACAGTTATTAACAATGGAGACTCCTCTACCCTAACTATTGCAGGAATAACAATGCAGGACAATGGCCAGACCGTTCGCTGTGTTGTCTTGAATGAAGTCACTAAGACCATTGGTTCTTCTACCCTACGAGTTACGAATCGCATCCAGACAACACAGAAAACCACAATTCTTACCTCATCATCGACCTCACCGATGTACAGCACAGTCCTCACAGAAACACCAACAGCATCCTTGGACCCATCCCAACCCACAACTTCAGTCAGAGTCACTGGGGACATTTTGGTTAGCACCAACCAACAGATCCACACGACCAACGACCACGGTGACGTCATCAATATCGTAGGTTGTAAGGACTGTGGTGGCAAGATCTCACCTCAGCAGAATCCTGGTGATGAGGAGAAATCTAGTAACAGCACCCTCGCTGTAGCACTTGGCATACTCGCTATTTGCGCCCTGGTCGCTGGAATCATTGCCTACATTGTTTACACCAAGAGAGGGCGCACCAGCGGTCGGGTCATCAAGAGGAAATGGAAGAACAAGCCACTGCAACGTCTGAGATCGCTACGACAGTCTGTGAGCAGCTCTAACCAAGATGTCGTCAATCCTAACTCTGTCCGGCTAAAGACCATCGAAGTAATTGTCAACCAACCACCTCCAGAATGGCAACTTCGCGTCAAAGACGTGGCAGGTGAAGAGAAAGAACCAAGGGAACAAGACCTCCCCAAGCTTGGAAATGACCAATCACCAGTAATACAGGTGACGCCAGACTGCGCCCTCCCCGAGAACTGTGATGCCTTGTACGCCAAACCGGATAAGATGAAGAAGAAAAGGCGCCATCATGGGGATGAGGATGGTAATGACCCCCGCCCAGTGACCGCTTCTCCTACCGTCCCTGGACAGTATCTCACCGCAGATGCCGACGACTGTTTCTCTGATGGTGTCTCTGATGCTTCGACTTGGGATATGAGCAGCGTGGACTCTGGCTGTGAAGAGGAAATGGATGAAATACGCCAAGATGCCACGGCCTACGCCGAGCTTGACCTGACTGTAGCGGCTGAAAGGAGCAAAGAATGCACACCACCAACTGAAACTGTTGAATATGCAAATACCACGGTTACCAAGACCTCCCTCCCCCGCAGTTAATACATTCAGACTTAGCTAGAAATGCTATGTGTTGCTACGCACATAAGGCTGAACACACTAGTGATGACTAATATGTTATGATGCACATGTATGTTCCAAAGTAGTGTCAAAAAGTGTCATACAAAAATTCCGTGGGTCCTTGGTCATCAACATCTTATAGTGTACTCAATAGTAGTAGATTATCCTTGTGACAAATTCTTCTTGAGATATGGTTGTAAACTCTCAATGTTGTTTATAAACTAATATTCCACTGTCAATATCTGAAGGTTACCAAGACAACCAGGAAACCACTCACAGGAGGGCGGTCAGTTTCAGGCTTCAACTTCCCCTTTTTTGTTTCCTCCGCAGTCAGATCCAATCGGATTTGATGGATTACCAAGGACAACTCAGAAATGCCAACCAAATTTCCTGACAGTTGGTTTCATAACAAGGGTTAAAGCAAGGTCTGTGATAGAAATCATGGGCAAGTTTAGGTATTCTAGGTGAGATAAGCAGAGGTGAAAAATACAACTATATAGGACTTAATTAATTTGAAAAAGTAGAAAGTAGCATCAAAGGGAAAGGAAACTTTGCGAAGATTGTATCAGAAGGGGCCCAAATTGTGAAAATATTGAGAACAGTTTTTCTATAATTAAATACATGTACATTAGCGCTGCATACTTATGTTAATCATAAAATGTAAATATATCATATAATAAAAAGCATGAAAATTGCTTGGGCAATAAAAACTGATCAAAGGTTTACGGCTTTTGGAGTTGTCGAACTGCGAATAGTTCTTTCCCTCGAATGCCACACATTGTTAATGCGTAATACTGGCATTACTAAAATATGTCTGCAGAGGGCGCTGTAACATTAAGTCAAGGAACTGCCACTCTCCGTTGGTGGCGCTGTTTGGTCTTTCAAAAATTTAATCAATGCCCTATTCGAGCACGGACGTATGTAAAAAAATCTGCACTGCTTCTGCTTTTCGGAGATCCTTATACGTTATAATCATATCTCATGGTTTGGGCATATTAACCCCTTTCCCCAGGGTTTGGTTTTTTCTGGGACACCCTGTAGAGATCGATGGTCGAGTTCGGGCGGCCTGTTCTTGACACGGGTTTCTTGTTCTCGCG